CAGCACTGAGTGCAGCGGGGTGTGCAGAGCGCGTGGCAAGCCCCTCTAGCGCTAGAGCCCCCTCTGTGACCCGCCCTTCCCCGCATGGCTCAAGGTGGAGACGGAGCAGCGCGCCAGCAGGCAGCAGGGGCACGCACGGAGGGAGGTGAGATGCTGGTGTGGGAGCACTTGGAGGAAGCAGGGGTGGAGGGTTTGGGGAAGAAGGGGTATTGTGGGGAGAAAAAGGGTTGGGGGGAGAAGCAGACGCAGTGGACGAGGCAGGCGATGGAAGTGACGCCGAGAGGAGCAGGGAGATGACATGGGTGGCGCCCAGGAGTCTAGAGGAGCTGAGAGCGGTGCTGCTGAGGGGAATGCACGGCGGGAGCGGTGGTGAGGAGAGGGGGACAGGTGAGGAGTGAGGTACAAGTGGGGGCAGCAGGGAGGAGGAGCAGGGCGAGTAAGGAAGAGGAGCAAGAGAAATCCCCAGGGCGATGCTGAGAGTGAGTGGTGGCAGACAGCACGGCAGCGGGCGTGTTTCCTGTGCTGGCCCATTGTGACTCCACGGCGCATGTGACTCCACGGCGCATGTGACTCCACGGCGCATGTGACTCCACGGCGCATGTGACTCCACGGCGCATGTGACTCCACGGCGCATGTGACTCCACGGCGCATGTGACTCCACGGCGCATGTGACTCCACGGCGCATGTGACTCCACGGCGCATGTGACTCCACGGCGCATGTGACTCCACGGCGCATGTGACTCCACGGCGCATGTGACTCCACGGCGCATGTGTCCTTGGTGGACGTGAAGGGAGTGCTGCAGCTGCACCGTGTGGCGTGGGAGGAGAGACCTGCTGACGACGAGGGTGAGGAGGGCGAAGGTGGAGGGTGGTGGTGGAGAGGTGGGGGAAGGAGAGTGTGATGGGGATCAGGTATGGTGCGGATGTGACTGTATCGGATGTGATTGCAGTGCTGGAGGCCATCGCTAGGAAGGGCGGTGCTGCTGGCTGTGCGACCATACACTACAGTGGCCAAGGGGATGACGCCCATGGGATAGCAGCGCCAGCAGTACAGGCAGCGGCGGCAGCGGCGGTGTTTGCCCGAGTAGCCGCCCACGTGCGAAGGGTGGTGGGGCCGCATGTGCGGAGGGTGGTGGGGCCGCATGTGCGGAGGGTGGTGGGGCCGCATGTGTGCAACGCTGCCAGCATCGGGAGCAACCTCGTGTTGGTTGCGTCTCGCAGCTCCTTCCCCTCCAACCCCGCCACTCTACTGCTGCCGCTCGGCGCCTCTGTGGGCACCGCCACTCCCTCTCCCGCTGCACCTTCCACTGCCACCCGCCTGGCCTCTGTCTCTGCGTCTCTCCCTGCTAAGTGCTAACACAGCAGGCAGCGATGGGTGGGTATCGGAGGCAATCCCACTCGAGGAATTTCTTTCACCACTCTCCACTCCCTCACACCACTCTCCTGCACTCCACCTTCCTGCCCTGCCCCGCAACCCCTTCCTTCCCCCCCTTTTTCCTCCTCCTCGCCCTCCCCTGCCGCTCCTCAACTCGTGGTGGACTCTTTCCGTGCCCCTGCCTGCCCCTGCCTGCCCCTGCCTGCCCCTGCCTGCCCCTGCCTGCCCCTGCCTGCCCCTGCCTGCCCCTGCCTGCCCCTGCCTGCCCCTGCCTGCCCCTGCCTGCCCCTGCCTGCCCCTGCCTCCTGCCTGCCCCTGCCTGCCCCTAGGGCAACGCGTGTGCGCGTGTGTCGTCACCCGCCGCCTTGGAGGGGCGTTCGGCGGCAAGACTGCTCAGGCCAGCCGCGTGAGTGTCATTGGGAGGGAGTTGGGATAGGAGGAGGATGTGGAGCGAGTGGGGATGAGAAAGAGATGGGAATGAGAAGGGGAGGGAGTGGGGATGGGAAAGTGATGGGGATGGGAACGGGGAGGTGGTGGGGATGGGCTTGTGAGGCGACGGAGGGAGGTTGGTGTAGGTGGATCATATGGAGATAAAGGGGGATCTAGAGCGATTCCAGAGAGGATTGGCAGGGATGATGGATGAGATGTGGGGGATTGTTGTTGAATGAGGGTGCGATTTGCAATGCAATCACTGGCTCTGGCAGAAACCTCGCCTGCTAGCAGCACATTTGATGCAAGCACGCACACAGACAGACATGCCACACGTCCCTCTCACCATGCCCCTCTCACCATGCCCCACTCTCCATGCCCCACTCTCCATGCGCCACTTACCATGCTTCCCCCACCATGCCGCACTCACCATGGTCCACTCACTATACCGCAACTCTTCAGACACTCTGTTCTTTCTCCATCCTACTCTTCATTGCTAACCACTCACCCTCTGGGCTGAGTGGGCTGTTTCCCAAGGTTGAAGATTGATCAGAGTCCAATGTTGGACTGGGTGGGGTATGTAATTGCACTCCATTCACTTTCATGCTGAATAATTCATGCCACTTGTTCCATCGTCACTTGCACTACCACCTTCATATCTCTTGCTCTCATTCTGTGCTTGCCCTGTGCTAACTTCCCTCCCACCTCTTTCATTTCCACTCCTCTCCTTTCTCCTCCATAACTGTCAACCACTTATCTTCTGTTTCCACATCATTCAAACAGTCAACAGTCAAAACGCGTGCATTTAAACGTGAGGCAAAACTGTAACTAACGACCGCCCATGCGATCCCTAAGGGAGCCTAAGAGGGGCTATTAGGACGTGGAAGCCCCCCTCTTTCTCTCCCCCACACGCCCCTGCCTCGCTGGCCATCGGGACGGACCTGCCTACGCACAGCACAGTGAGGGCGCCTGGCGAGTGCAGGGCGTGGTGGTGGTGGAGAGCTTGTTGGCCCATGCCATGTCATGTCATGTCATGTCATGTCATGTCATGTCATGTCATGTCATGTCATTCTCCACTTCCAATCCAGCACAGAGGGTGCTCCGATGGCCATCCCCTTCTGTTTCCTTCCCCTCCCTGGCCACACTCCCTTAAATACTCCTCCTCTGCTCCCGCTGCTCCTGCCACTCCTGTTGCCATTCCCTGCCGCAGCTCCACTTTCCCTTGACAAATTACAGTGTGAGGGAAGCAATGCTGCTGGGGTCGGTGACAGTACAGACGCCAAGTGTAGCACCAGCAGTGGCACCTTCCATCCTGGCAGCGAAGCAGTGGACGACAAGGAGGACGAAGAGGAGGGGGACGAGGATGAGGGGGGGATAGCACAGCGAGTGTGGAGGGAGGCGAAGGCCCTTGCGAGCTACACCGAGCGCGCAGCAGCAGTGGAGGAGTGCAACGCGGCACACGCGTGGCGCAAGAGGGGCATTGCCATGGCGCTCGCACTCTACCACGTGCCGCTGCCCGCCAAGCCCGCACGTGTGACGGTGATTGGTGATGTTTCGGTGGTGGTGGAGGCGGGCGGCGTGGAGATGGTGCCTCAACTCCCTCTGGAGCGCCCCTGCTGCTGGCATTTCTGACGCTGGCAGGGGCTCTGGCAGCAGGAGCGGCATCGTTGCTGGCAACGACAGCTGCAGCAATGGTGGCAGCGGTGGTGGCAGCAGCAGCGTGTCGGAGCGGTGTGGAGTGGAGATGAGGCACATAAGAGTGGTGGAGGTGAGGCACATAAGAGTGGTGGAGAAGGACAGGTGTCACTGGGCAATGCGGGCATGACGGCTGCCAGCTCCACCTCTGAAGCCTCCTGTGCCGCCGTGCTGCTCGCCTGCCACCACCTGTTGCCCGCGTTGCTCACCGCCAAGGCTGCAGTTGAGCAGGCCAAGGCGCGCCGACGGGTGACGAGGGAGAGCGGGCTCTTGGCAAGGGAGTCGGTAGTGGGATAGGGTGACGTGGCAGTGGAGGAGGGTGACTTGGCGAGGTTGGAGGAGGTGGCAGCGCAGGCCAAGGCCATGGAGCTCACGCTCGTAGCGCAGGCGCACTTCCAGCCAGCCCGATCCCTCCCACACCTCCTACTTCACCTTTGGTGCTGCTGTCTCAGAAGTACTCAATCCTGTGTGTGGCTGATGGTGACCGCTGTGTGCACGCAGAACGTTCCGTCTTTGCCATGCTTCCACTGTGTGGAGGCTCTGCCAAAACCTCCTTTGTGCTCATCCTTGCATTTACCATCATGCATGCATCCAGGAGTCCATCCATCCACACGTACTGCTCTATTTCACCTCTTGGACCTTCCCCAGAAATCACGTTACTTGCCATAGTTTGTCACTGCTTACCCCTGTCTCTTTGCATGTCTGCTCTCCCACTCCCTCTCCCTCTTCCTCTCCCTCCCACTCTCCCTCTCCCTCTCCCTCCCCCTCTCCCACTCTCTCACTTTCCCCCTTCCCCCCCCCCCCCCCCTCCGCGCCAGGTGGAGGGGGCGTTCGTGCAGGGGCAGGGCTTCTTCACCACGCAAGACGTGCTGGTGGAGGAAGCTACCGGGAAGCTGCTGTGGGACGGCACGTGGGCATACAAGGTGCCATCATTCGACACCGTGCCCCGCCAGCTCAACGTCTCCCTCCTGCATGGCACCAGCAACAAGCACGGCATGCTCTCCTCCAAATGTGACCCCCAAATTCTCTTTCACTGCCCTCATCCACTCCCTTTGCTCTCCACCCTCTCGCTTCTGCTTCTCCGTCGTTCACTCCGCTCTACAGCCCTCTCTTGTTACTGCATACCATGGTGTTCCAAGCCTTGATGCATCAAGCAGTCATCCCTACCATTGTATTGCACCTGTCTATGAGGATCCAGAGTACCATCAAATCTCAACACACAAGCCAAGAAACACGCTCCGACACCTTACCCCACTCTTCTCCCCCCCCCCCTCTTCCCCACTCATATCTTAATAATTAAATACAATAGATGGGTAGGGTAGGGGCATCAGCCTAACCAGTTTCACTTGTACCACTAAGTATAATACATTAAGTGGCTGTCCTCCCCACACGTCCACAACAGTGCCCTATTCTACATGGACAAGGTGGGCATCTCAATGAAGAGATGTCGTTCTTCAAGTCAAGACCAACAACTGGGGCGCTCAGCTTCTTGCCGTGGCCATCAGTCTCTGACGGCTGGGCGGAAGCAGCAGGCAAAGGAGGCAGCCCCACGGTGCTTCAGCAGCTGCTCCTCCGGTTCCTGCCACCAGCGCAAGGTGCCATGTGATGTGAGACAATCAAATCGTAAGTGAATGGAACATGTGGAGTGGATGTATACACAACATTCATGCGGCACAAAACTCTTTAAACGATGTGAACCTATGGATGCCGTGAATTGTGATCCAACCTGTTTATGACTCCACCCACGCACATCCCTTTCTCTTACCGAGTCATCGTCATCGTCATCAGTCCGCCTCGTCTCGTGCTCTCGTCTGCCACCGTGCTTTCGCTTCCCCCCTGCGTCAGCAGCTCCCGCCGTGCTCCCTCCCTCATGGGGCAGGTGCAGGGAGGGCATGCACTGTGGCTGCTGCAAGCACTGCGGCCGAAAGTCCTCACTCTCCTCCCACTCGCCCTGCCGGTTCCTCACCCGCAGCCCCTGCAGCACCTCCTCGTCCCCTTCCTCACCACCCTCTTCCCAATCCTCAATCCTTTCCATACCCGGAACGGACCCCTCGAGACCCCTCAACCCATCCACTCCAGCAGCACCAGCTGCCCCTACTGCAGCTGCCCGTGGGTCTTCACGGGCCATTGGGGCGAGCTGCGAAGCTTCCCCTGCAGCGGAGGCAGCAGCACTGCCCATGGACACAGCAGGCCGCAGCCGAGCCCGAGCGACCCCCGCAGCAGAGGCAGCGGGTGGGAGGGTGGCAGGTGGGCGAGAGGAGACGAGGGCGGGGCGGGAGAGGTTAGAGGAGCGCGAGAACTGCATCAGCGCGTCCCTGCGACGTCGCCTTAGAAGGAATTCGTCCACTGGTGGCACTGCCAGCGCTGCTGCTACTGGCGCTGCTGCTGGCGGTGATTGTGGTAGCGCCGCTGCTGGTGCTGTTGGCGCTGATGCTGGTGCTGCTGCTGGTAGTGGGTTAGGAGCAGCAGAGGACCACACGTCGGGCACTTCTTCTTGCTGTGACTTCTGCAGTGCCATATGCTGTTGTTGCTGCTCGTGCCGCGGCTGCTCTTGCTCTGCTGCTCGGCTCTCCGCCCTGTTCTCCACCGCTGCTGCTTGCTGGCGCGAAGGCAGAGCTGCTGCTGAGTGTTGCTGCGGTGGATCGGACACAGAAGCAGGCACAGGGGCACCAGATGAGGCAAAACGAGGTGGGGAGAACGTAGCAGGAGGATGATTGGGGAGAGTGGCAGCAGCAACAGCAGTAGCAGTAGCAGCAGCAGCCGCCGCAGCACCAGCAGCTATTGCAGCAGACGCAGAGGGAGCACTGCCACTCCCCTTGGGCATAGCCCCTCCAGCTGCACCCTCTGACCCTTCCACCACTTCAACCCGCTCCTCCTCTGCCTCCTCTTGCCCCTCTCCCATCTCCCGCTCGTCTTGCGGTCTCCTCTCATCAATGTTTCCCTTCGCCTCCTCGTCCTTCCTTCGCTCACCCTCCCTCTCCTCCTCCTCCTCTGCTCTCCCCACCGCCATCCCACCATCAACTCCGTCCTGCTCATCCCCTGCCGCCACGTCACCCTCCCTCAGCCCGATCTGAGCGCTCTCAAACTCATCCTCCTGCTCCACCCCTCTCGGATCAACACTGCTCCTATCCCTCTCCTCCACGCCCTCCGCTCCCTCCCCCGCCACCCCTTCTGCTCCCCCAGCACGCCTGCTTGCACTCCCACCGGCGCCTCGTGCGAACAGACCAAACAGGCTCCTTCCTGGCAGCTTCCACTTGGCGTCTTCCCCAGAAGCAGCTGCTGCAGTAGCAGCCGAGTCAGGAGCAGTAGCATCAGTAGCAGGGAGGTTGCAGGGAGATGGTTCAGATGCCGTGGGGTCACACGATGGGGCGACAGGCATGGGAACAACAGCAGCGACCACGGCTGGAACTGCTGCTGGAATAACCCTCTCCTGCCGTACGCTTTGCTTCTGCTCCTCCTCTTCTGTCTCTTCCTCTTCCCTCTCTGCCTCTGCCTGTCGCTGCTGCGGCTGCACGGGCCGAGTGTGACCAGCAACAGGCCGCTCAGCCACCACAAACTTATCCTCGCTCTCCTCCACCTCCACCTCCTCTGCCGCCATCCTCCCTCCCACTAATTGCTGGCCCACGTCCTGCTGCTGCTGCTGCTGCTGCTGCCCATCCCTGCCAGTACCCCGACCAATATCCCTGCTGGTATCCCTGCCCTCTGCTTCTACTCTTCCTAGTCCGCCTCCAGGCTCTCCTCTGCTGTCCGCTAGGCTGCGAGCGCCAGCAGCACTGGCAGCGGCGAAGGAAGGGCGAGCGGGCTGCAGGGAGAGGGAGCGGAGCGCGGAGCGAGGAGTGAGGGTGTGGAAGGCGCTTCGCTGTGCTGCAGCACGCAGGTCAGCACGGGGAGAGGGCGAGCGCAGGCTAGCACGGGGAGAAGGAGAGCGCAGACTGCCACGGGGGGAAGGAGCACGCAGACTGCCACGGGGAGAGGGCAGGTACAGGCCAGCACGGGGAGAGGGCGACTGCAGAGTTGGGTGAAGAGGCGTGTGAAAGCCGTCGCTGCTGCCTGGGCTGCTGAAGAAGCGTTGCTCTGAGCGCAGAGAGGCAGCAGAGGGGGACTGGGCGCGTGGGGTGAAGTATTCACGAGCAGAGTAGAGTGCTTCCGAGGCTGCAGAGGCGGGGGACTCGGGGGGTGAGAGGTGCGGTGCGGTGAGGGTGGGGGGGAACGGGGAGGGGAAGAAGGAGCAGGAGTTGAGGGAGAGGCGGGAGGGGGAGGGGGCGGAGGAGAAAGAGTAGGCGGGGGAAGGGGGGAAGGTGGGCGGGGTCTGATAGCCGGCAATGGTGCTGGCTGAGTCGTCAAAAGAGGAGGAAGCGTCATCAAAAGCGGAGGCGGTGCTGTGGAAAGAGGTGGTGCTGCGGAAGGAAGCGGAGCGCAGGGAGGAGGCGGAGCTGAAGCGACCCATGTGGGCGTCGTGGTAGAGAGAGGAGCTGTCAGACGCCCCGTCGTCCACATCCTCAATGTTCACTATGCCGCTCACGCTGCTGCCGCCCATGCCGCCCGCGCTGTTGCCAGCCATGCCGCCCATGCCATCGTTGCCATCCGTGCCAATCATGCTGCCAATGCCGTCAGCACCGACTCTTTCCTCCTCCGTGCCTTCCCCATCCGTGCCGCTGTCAACGGCACCACCAGCCGTGTCAATACCGACTCTGCTGCTCTCACCACTGCCAGTCACCGGCACGCCTTCACCCCTCCCAGTGCTGCCAGTGCTGTCAGCGTTGGCTGTGGTGGCAGGGCCCTCCCCAAGCTGACTGCAGGTAGCCGCCCCTGCTGCCGCTGCCACCACCCCTGCTGCTGCCACTGCTGCGGGTGAAGCTGCGGCTGCAGATGGTGGTGAAGAGGTTTCAGGGGGTGATGGTTGGGAGGAGGCATGAGGGAGAGCGAGGTCAGTAGGAGGCAGGGGGAGGTCAGCAGGGGGGGAAGGTGGTGGGAGTGAGGCGGAGGCAGCATCAGGTGGGGAAACAGCAGCAGCAGCAGCAGGAGCGCTGGCAGCAAGAGCAGCGGTGGCAGGTGTTTCAGGAGGCAAGGAAGGCGGTTGGCTGTGCAGGCTGGGGGGGAGCTGCTGCTCCCCATCGTCGCTCTCATCCTCTTCCCCTCCCGCTCCTGACTCTCCACGTCCCTCACGCCCCTCAGACCCCTCAGGCCCCTCAGGCCCCTCTGACCCTCCTGATTCACCTGATTCCTCGAACTCCCCTGATGCGCCCTGTGCATCCGCGAAGTCCTCGCTCTCACTGCCCTCCTCCTCCGCCCCCTCTCTCCCCGCTATTGCTGCACCTGCTGCACTGACAGCCAAGATGGGTACAGCAGGGGGAGGCTCTGCGGCTACCTGCACAGCAGCCGCTTCTGATGACTTTTGAGTCGACTCAAAAGTCGCCACTGCTGCACCCGCTGCACTGACAGCCAAGATGGGTACAGCAGGCCCTGCGGCTGCCTGCACAGTAGCCGCTTCTGATAACCCCAGCTTGTCTCCTTCGCGCTCCTCCTCTCTCCCATTCTCCTCCTCCTCCCCGCTCTCCTCTTCCTCTTCTTCCGTTTCCTCTACCTCCTCCTCGTCCTCCTCCTCTTCCTCCTCCTCTTCCTCCTCCTCTTCCTCCTCCTCCTCCTCCTCCTCCTCGTCCCCTTCCTCAACACAACTATCATCGTCCTCTTCCTCCTCCGAATCATCCTCCCCCTCATCATCAGCATCCGCCCCAACATCCACCTCCCCCAAATCCACCTTCCCCATATCCACCTCCCCCTCATCCACCTCCACCACGCACCCCTCCTTACTGCCATCTCGCACCACAGTCACACGCCACACCCCATCCGACCCCTTTCCCTTCAGTTTAAAGGCCTCCTTAAGAACTGCTTCAATATCCCGCTGTAGCTGACCCACGTCCAGCTCCTCCCCTTCCAAATCAAGTATCATGTCACCCTCCACATCACCCTCCACGTCACCCTCCACATCACCCTCCACGTCACCCTCCACATCACCCTCCACATCACCCTCCACATCACCCTCCACATCACCCTCCACATCACCCTCCACGTCACCCGCCACGTCACCTTCCACATCACCTTCCACGTCAGCAGAGCTCGCTGCCTCAGACACACACTCCCCTACTTCTCCTCCATCTTCCCCCCCATACTCCCCCACTCTCCCTCCGCCATCCTCTCTCCCTTCCTCCTCCTCTTCGTCCTCCACAGCATCCGCACTCTCTCCTTTCTCACTCCCCACCGCCACCCCCTCCACTTCTGCACGCCCCACCTCCCCATCTCTCCTCCCTTCCCCTTGCAGCATTCCCTCCACTCCCTCGCCTACTCCCCTCCCCTCCCCAGCACCCCTCTCCTCTCTCTCATCATCACTCCCACTCAGCACAGCCCCTGAAGCCTCCAGCACATGCCTCGAATCTTCCTGCAAGGGCAATACAGCTGCCTCAGTCGTTGATTTATCCTCTTCATCACGCCATCCCTGCCTCGCCTCACCTTCCTCCTCCTGCCCCGCTTCCCTTGCCTCCTCTCCTTCCTGCCTTCCTGACTCCTCATTCATTCCCCCTTCGGATTGATTCTCTGGAACCTCCTCTCTAACTGCCTCGCTCTCTGCCACTTCCTCTGTCTCTCTCCTTTCCTCTGCCCCTGCCTCTCCCTGTCCATCTGCCTCTATCTCACTTGCTTTCTCCCTCTCTACATTTGCGTCTCCCTCATCCTCTGTCTCTTCCTCTCCCTCTGCCTCTGCCTCTTCCCCTGCCCCTCCCTCTCCCACTCCCTCGGCCTCTCTCCCTGTCTCTGTCCCTGCCTCTGCCGCGGCCTTGTTTGCGCCCGCTCCCTGCCTCTCGTCCCCTTGTGTGCTGCTGGACTTTTTGATCTGCTCCGCCTCAGGCTTTGTCCACTTGCTCTCATGCTCTCTCCATTCCGCTTCTCTCTCTGCCTGCACTGCAGCAGCCACCTCTCCCCCACTCTCACTCCCACCCTCGCCCCCAGTCTCTCTCCCACTCTCGTACTCACTCACAACATCTATCTCGCCTTCACTCTCATGCTTACTTGTAGCCCCCTCACCCTCACTCGCCAACTCACCCTCACTCGCCAACTCACACTCACTCGCCAACTCACCCTCACTCGCCAACTCACCCTCACTCGCCAACTCACCCTCACTCGCCAACTCACCCTCACTCGCCAACTCACCCTCACTCGCCAACTCACCCTCACTCGCCAACTCACCCTCACTCGCAAACTCACCCTCACTCGCCAACTCACCCTCACTCGCCAACTCACCCTCACTCGCCAACTCACCCTCACTCGCCAACTCACCCTCACTCGCCAACTCACCCTCACTCGCCAACTCACCCTCACTCGCCAACTCACCCTCACTCGCCAACTCACCCTCACTCGCCAACTCACCCTCACTCGCCAACTCACCCTCACTCGCCAACTCACCCTCACTCGCCAACTCACCCTCACTCGCCAACTCACCCTCACTCGCAAACTCACCCTCACTCGCCAACTCACCCTCACTCGCCAACTCACCCTCACTCGCAAACTCACCCTCACTCGCCAACTCACCCTCACTCGCCAACTCACCCTCACTCGCCAACTCACCCTCACTCGCCAACTCACCCTCACTCGCCAACTCACCCTCACTCGCCAACTCACCCTCACTCGCCAACTCACCCTCACTCGCCAACTCACCCTCACTCGCAAACTCACCCTCACTCGCCAACTCACCCTCACTCGCCAACTCACCCTCACTCGCCAACTCACCCTCACTCGCCAACTCACCCTCCTCGCTCTCGTATTTACTCTCCGTCCCCCCACCCTCACTCAAAACCTTCCCATTTTCTTCACTCTCGTACTTGCTCTCAATCCCCTCACTCTCACTCAGAACCTCTCCGTTTTCTCCACTCTCATATCTACTCTCAACTCCCCCACCATCACTCACAACCTCCCCCTCTCCCTCCCGCTCATCCTCACTCGCCACCTCACTCGCACCCTCACTCGCACCCTCACTCGCACCCTCACTCACAGCCTCCCCCTCACCGTCACTCCCACGCGCACTCTCCGCGTCACTGGCACCCTCACAGCGCGCATGGGAGATTAGTGGAAGCACCCCAGCAGCAACCCCACTGTCGCCAGCACTCTCTCTCTCCTCACCACCTGCAATCCCCCCTCCACCTGCACTCCTCACATCATCCACACTGCCATCTCCACCTGCACCACCTGCATCTCCATTACGGGCAGCAGCAGTCGCCGCCACAGCAGCAAAACCAGCAGCAGCGGCGGCAGCAGCAACACCGGCGGCGGCAGCAGCAGGTGAAGCAGGGAAAGAAGGGCTTGCAGGCGGGGCAGCATGCGAATTAATATAACTGCCAGCAACGTCAGCCTGGGAGCCGGGAGCTTCGGAGGTGGGAGGTTCGGAGGCAGGAGGTTCGTAAGCGGGAGCTTCAAACGCAGGAGCTTCGGAGGTGGGAGGTTCCGAGGCAGGAGGTTCGTAAGCGGGAGCTTCAAACGCAGGAGCTTCGGAAGAGGAAGGTTCGGAGGTGGGAGGTCCGGATGCGGAAAGCTCGGAGGCAACAGGTTCAGAGGCAGGAGGGTCGAAGGCAGGAGGTTTGGATCCAGAAAGTTTGGAGGTGAGAGGTTCAGAGGCGGGAGCTTTGGAGGCAGGAGCTTCGGAGGCGGGAGCTTCGGAGGCGGGAGCTTCGGAGGCGGGAGCTTCGGAGGCGGGAGCTTCGGAGGCGGGAGCAGGGGCAGGTGTGTGAGCGGAGCCCCAGGAGGGGCGCCAGGCCATGGCGAGCAGCGAGGACCACCCCCACTGCTGCTGCTTCTGAGACCCTGCTGCGGAGGGAGGCTCTGTGGGGGAAGGCGCTGTGGGGGGAGGGTCTGAGGAGGGAGGCTCTGAGGGGGGAGGCTCTGTAGGGGAAGGGTCTGAGGGGGGAGCCTCTGCGGGGGGAGCCTCTGTGGGGGGAGCCTCTGTGGGGGGAGCCTCTGGGGGTTGAACCTCTTTGGGGGAAGGCTCTGTGGGGGGAACCTTTGTGGGGGGAGGCTCTGTGGGGGGAGGGTCTGTGGGGGGAAGGTCTGTGGGGGGAGGCTCTGTGGGGGGAGGCTCTGTGGGGGCAGGCTCTGTTGGGGAAGGCTCTGAGGGGAGAGGGTCTGTGGGGAGAGGGTCTGTGGGGGGAGGGTCTGAGGGAGAAGGGCCTGTGGGCGAGGGAGGAGTGGGGAAGGCTGTGTCCGGTGATGGCAAGTGGGGGGTGGTGTGGGACGGTGCAGCAGGGGCAGGCGAGGTGGTGGTGGTGGTGGAGAGGGGCAGCGGCAGTGACTGCGGTGCTGACTGGTGCTTCTGACGCTTGGCTGCCACTGCAGGGATGAATGAGGACAACGGGGAGTGGCAGGGAAAGGGGCGAGGGGAGAGGATGGAAGAGGAGGGAAGAGGGGAAAGGTGAACAAAATGGCATGGCATGGCAATAGGGCAGCGGCAGTGACTGGTGCTTCTGACGCTTGGCTGCCACTGCAGGGATGAGTGAGGAACACGGGGAGTGGCAGGGAGAGGGGCGAGGGGAGAGGAAAGAGGGGGAGAGGGAAGAGGGAAAAGGAGATAGGGGAGAGGGGAGGGGTGAACACAATTGCATGGCAATGGTGCAAATACATGAAGCATCCGAGGCAATAAGCAATGTGCATGTTTTCTTCAAGCACCACTCACACGTGGCTTCAAACATGGACAGCAGCCCCTTCACTCGCCCACCCCGCACCCCGCCAGCTGCTGCCCCACCTCCCACACCTCCCCCTCTTTCAAATCTCGCGCTCTCGCTCCCCTTGCTTCCGCGTTTTTCTCCCAATTCGCCTTCACTCCTCCTTATGGCCCCTTCTTCCCCATCCACACCAACACCAGTGGTACCAGCGGCACGGATCGAAGCAGCCTCTAGAAGGGCAGCACCAGCCGCAGCAGGAGCACCAAAAGCAGCCGTGGCTGCAGCTGCAGCTGCGTCACCAGATGCAAGGCCCGATGCATCAATGTTCGCACCAGAAGAAGCAGTAGCTGCAGCTGCATCTGCAGCACCGTCTGCAGCGGCGGCTGCAGGTGCATCTGCGTTTCCAGATGCAAGTCCCGGTGCACAAATGTTCCCACCGCTGCTGTTGCCTGTGCCCGTTGCAGCAGGGGTGGCAGCAACGTTAGCATCAGAAGTGGAGGTACCTATGGCAGCAGCAGGGGTGGCAGCAGCAGGGGTGGCAGCAGCAGGGGTGGCAGCAGCAGGGGTGGCAGCAGCAGGGGTGGCAGCAGCAGGGGTGGCAGCAGCAGGGGTGGCAGCAGCAGGGGTGGCAGCCGCGGCAGTGGCAGCCGCGGCGGAGGCAGCAAGAGCCGAGGAGGCAGAGATGGCAAAGCGGTGGCGGTGGGGGGAGAGGGAGCGAGGCATTCCAGGAGGCTGCTGGGGAGAGAGAGGAGGCGAGGGCGAGAGAGCAGAGCGTTGCTGTGGCGAGAGAGGAGGGGAAGACGAGAGAGCAGACAGCTGCTGGGGCGAGAGAGGGGGAGATTCCACCCTCCTTGCCGCCTGCTGCTGCTGCTGTTTTTTTAGGTCTGGAGACATGGGAGCGGAGGAGAAGAGTGCAAGGTACTGCTTGGAACGCAGGGGAGAGAGGGGGCGTGGGGACAGAGGGAGGGGAGGCGGGGCCTTGGGGCGATAGAGAGGCATGTGGGGAGCTGAATTGGCTGACACAGTTGGTGTGCTGCTGCTTACAACACTTGCACCCTCATGTGCACTGCTGCTGCTGCTGCTACTGCTGGCATGGGCGATGGTGGTGCTGAAAGTAAGCTCAGCCTCCTCACTGTCACCGGATCCACTGCCCATCCCCATGCCGCTGCCATCACCGCCTGCACTGCTCTCTGCGGCGGCACCAGCTGCTGTGGCAGTCCTTGGCCTGAGCGATGTTTCTGACGGCGTGGGTGCTGCCACGCATGGCTCCTCAACGAGTGAAGGAGTATCTAAGGAGGCAGCAAGTGGTGTCAGTGCCGCCGCTGTTACTGTGGTTGCATCTGGTACAACCACCATGGCAGGCATGCCGCTCCCTCTCTCGTCCGCCTCCCCACTCCTCTCACTCCCATCCACTCGCCCCTCTGCAGTCACAGGCTGGTCCGCCCCGTTCTTCTCCTCCCTACCCCTCACTGCCTCCCTGCCTTCCGCTTCCTCCCTCCTACCCTCCACTTCAGGCGTGCTGCCGCCCGCATCCGCCACTGCACCAGCACACACCGCTGCTGCTGCTCCCGCTGCCGCTGTGCTGGCAACCGCAACAACGGCAGGGGCAGCAAATGCAGCAGGTGCAAGAGGGGCAGCAAATGCAGCAGGTGCAAGAGGGGCAGCAAATGCAGCAGGTGCAAGAGGGGCAGCAAATGCAGCAGGTGCAAGAGGGGCAGCAAATGCAGCAGGTGCAAGAGGGGCAGCAAATGCAGCAGGTGCAAGAGGGGCAGCAAATGCAGCAGGTGCAAGAGGGGCAGCAAATGCAGCAGGTGCAAGAGGGGCAGCAAATGCAGCAGGTGCAAGAGGGGCAGCAAATGCAGCAGGTGCAAGAGGGGCAGCAGGCAGTGCTTCATCTCCCCCCCTGTCAGCACTTTCTCCTGTGTCTGCTGCACAAACCACTGCTGCCCCTGCCCCTGCTCCTGCCCCTGCCACCGTGTCATCAGCAGCAGCAGCAGGCAGGGCTCCCACTCCCTCGCTACCACCTCTTTCCTCTTCTGTGCCTGCAGGCTCACATGCAGACACAGCAGCCAACAGCAGGCTGGCAGCAGGGTCAACGGGGTCAATGGGGTCAACAGGACCAGCGAAGCTGAAGGAGTCAACAGGGCCAATGGGGTCAACATCACTATTGCTGCTGCTTTGTGCTGCTGCTGTTGAGGATGGTTCATCTTCAGGTGATCCAACTTCAGATTCATTTTCAGGTGATTCACCCTCAGGTGATTCTTCTCCACACGTTTGGCCAGGAGAGAGCAACATGAGGGCTGACTCTGTCGTGCTGCTGCTGCCACTGCCGCCACCGCCACTGCTACTGCTGCTGCTCGCCATGCCATGACTGCTACTGAGGGCAGGTTGTTTCTCAGGCTGAGCAGGCGAGGGGGGAGAGATGGGCAGAGGCAGAGGCGCGCGCAGAGGAGGGAGAGCCTTTGATGCTGGCTGCTGAGGCTCCAGCACTGGGAGTGGGGGGAGTATAGGCCGCCGCGCAGCCAAGGGGATTCCACCTGAAGATTCACCTGAAGGTTCACCTGGTACTTTTTCAGAATCATTTGCAGGGTGTAAGGACGGTGGAGAGTCGAGCACGAGCAATGGTGGTTGGTTGGTAAAAGATGGATCTGAATCCGCAGCAGAGGAGTCAGCAGCAGCAGGTGCGTGTGTGACTGTGGGTGAGGAGGAGGAGGTGGAGGAGGAGGAGGGCAGGTAGCGGTCGGAGAGAAAGGAGGGGAGTGAGAAGGTCTGGGAGAGAGGGGGAGCGGAGGAGAGTGAGGGAGAGCAGGGAGGGGAGGAAGACGGGGAGAAGGCGGAGCGGGTGCAAGGGGAGGCGGAGGGGGAGAGGATGGGGAAGGCGCGGGGGGAGTAAGAGGTTCCTTCCGAGGCAGCTGCAGCCACTGTGAGAGGAAGGAGGGCACGGGGACGGGCAGAGGGGGAACGCATTGGGGGGGAGGGGGGACGCCGGCGAGATAGAGTGCGAAGGTTGGATGGGCGGGAGGGGGGAGAGGGGGAGTGTGGGGGGTGGGGAAAGGAGGGGGAAGAGGGCCGGGGGAGGGAAGGGGAAGAGGGGCGGGAACGGGGACTGGAGGGAGGAAAAGGGCGGGGCAGGGATGGGGGTTTGGATGAAGGGGATGGGGGAAAGGGGGAGTGGCGAGTGGAGGGGCCGGGGCAGGAGGCAGAGGAGGGAAAGGCAGGGCGGGGAGGGGAGGCGGGGCGGACAGGGAGGGAAGGAATGGAGGGAGGAACGGAAGTGGGAATGGGATGTGAGATGGCAGAGGTGAGAGATGGCTGCTGGCTAGATGGGTCAGACGATGATGTAACAACGGCCAAGGGAGAGACCGGAGGAGCAGAGGAAGGAGCGGAGGAAGGAACAGAGGAAGGGAAAGCGGGAAGAGCAGTGACAGGGGCAGAGGACAGCACAGACGTGGCAGTTGCTTCTGGTAATGCTGCTGTTGATGGTACCGAAACTGCTGGTAATTGTTCTTCTGCCTCTGCTGCTGGCGCAGCTGCTGTCCCTGCTGCTGCTGCTGCTGCTGCTGCTGCTGCTGCTGCTGCTGCTGCTGCTGCTGCTGCGACTGCTGCGGCTGCTGCCGCTGGCACAGCTACTGCAGAAGCAGATGCATCTGGGTGGGCGGAGAAAGTCAGTGTGGTGGGCATGGGTTGCGGCGAGGGGGAGGGGGAGGGAGAGGGCGAGGTGGAGCAGGAAGAGGGTGAGGAGAGGGCAACGATGACAGGCGGGTCGCCTGCTCTCTCGCGCTCGTCCATGTGACGGTCGAAGAGAGATGCTAGGGAGGGCAGTGAGGTGCTGGTGTGCGCTGGCAGTGGCAGGGGTGATGGCGATGCTGCTGCTCATCGCACCACATGCACGCACGCACACACACAGACATGCACGCACGCACACGCACACGCACGCACGCACGCACGCACGCACGCGCACACGCACGCACGCACGCGCACACGCACACACACACACACACACACACACACACACACACACACACACACACACACACAGAAAAATATTCACATGGCATGCGAAGGAGGCATAGAGGAAGTGTAATGATGGGAAGATGAGAGTTGGAGGGTGATGAGAGAATAGTACACGGGATAGAGTAAGAGAAAATTCAGTGTGCAAGAGGGACGGCAGTGCTTACGTTGTGAGGTGACTGGAGTCGAAGCTCCTGATGCACCTTCAGCCTGCAATGGGGCCAAGGAGGGGCAGGAATCGACAGGAGGGACGATGAGAAGATGTGGCAAGAAGGCACATGGCTTTGATAGATGGCAGCATAGTTGCAAGTGAACAGTGAAAGGCAGTGACCGAAGGCGTGTGGTGAATGAATGCGGAGGGTAGCGGAGAGAGGGTGGTGAAGGGGGGGTGGAGGAGGGAGGGTGGTGAAGGGGGGGTGGAGGAGGGAGGGTGGTGGAAGGAGGGTGGTAATGGAGAGTGGCAATGGCGGGTGGTGAAGAAGGGGCGCACCCCAAAGAGCATGGCATGCACCGAGTCCTCAATCAGACAGTCCACTCGCTCGCCGCCCTGCCCCGCCTGCTCCGCCCCCTGCTTTCCCCCTCCTTCCACCTCCTCTCCTGCTTGCAGTTCCGCAGCTGCAGCATCCTCACCCTGTGCTTTGACACCGCTGGGGGCATCACACTCAGGCCCATCAAGAGCATCAGGATCGAGAGTACCAGAGTCAGCAGAGTCAACGGAGTCAACCGATTCAAGAGAGTCAGCACGCCAGAAATCCACAGTGGGAGGGGAGGTATCGCTGAGGCCACCTGCCGCTGCTGCAGAGACACTCCCCCACCCGCCGCCGCTGCTGCTGCTTCTGCCCTCCCTGCTCGCCCCTCTCGCCCCACTTGCTTCACTGGCCCTGCCAGCAGCAGCAGAAGCAGGCGCTGCCGCATTTGCAATGGCGGGGGCAGCAAACCCAAAGGTGGGCGAATCCGGGGTGAATGTGGGGGAGTCTGCACTCGTCCCATCCACAACGGCAGCCGCAGCAGCAGTGGGGCTGGCAGGGGCAGGGGTCATGGCGAGGCCAAAGGTGGGCGAGTCGGGGACTGAAGTGGGGGACCCAGCTTCACTGGCGTGCGGAGAGCCCGAGGTGGGGGGATGAGGGGAGGTGAACGTGGGGGAATGAGGGGAGGTGGGGGTGGGGGAACGAGGGGAGGCGGAGGTGGGGGAACGAGGGGAGGCGGAGGTGGGGGAACGAGGGGAGGCGGAGGTGGGAGAACGAGGGGAGGCGGAGTCTGGGTGAGGGGTGGAGCTCGAGTCTTGAAGGAGAGAGAAGGAGGTGGCAGGAGATTCAGCAATGACAGCTGGAGAGCCGAGGGATGGAGATGGGCAAGCAGCATCGGGGGAGAGCGATGTGGCATCCTCGTTAGAGAGTGACTCGGCATGAGAAGCAGCATGGGTGCTGGTAGGAGAGTAGATGCCTTCACAGGGAGTGTGTGAGGTGGCGGCGTCTTCTGACTGGTCCACTGGCTGCCAGGCTGGCAACTGGGAGATAGGAACAGTGAGAGGCAATGGGGATGGAAGGGACGGGGGGGGGAGGTGTGAGGGTAGAAAGTACGACAGGCAGAGAGGGGCAAAGCGAGAGACGTGTAGGCTGCAGAGTAGAAGAATAAACAGATGGACGAGAGATGGGCGCAGTGGTTAGGAATGCCTCGAAACAAGACGAGTGGCGAAAGGAAGACTGTTCCACGTCCACTGCGCAAGCGGTGGTGGTTGGGGGCGTCTCCAACTGGCAACAGTTTCAAGCACAGCGAGCTTGCCCTTATGAATTCTGCAGGCAGGTTGCTTGCAACGCAACGGCCAGTGAAGGCGAGCTTATGAGTTTCAGTGTACGAGACAAGAGCAACACTGAGGGCGCAGAGTAGCAGAGGAAGGGTGCAGTCCCCACACTCACCTTGTCAGCAGATTGCAGAGGCTCCAGAGTCCCAGGCACCACTCCGGCTGCTGCTGCTGCAGCTACCGCCACTGCTGCTGCTGCCGTCACTGCTGCTGCTCCTGCTGCGCTGCTGGCGCTGCTGCCATCATGCCTCGCATCATCCTCTGCCGGCACCCGCCTCTCCACATGCCCCACTTGTTGTACACCCCTTCCGCATTCACCCCCTCCCTCCTTCTGTCCCACCCACCCCTCGCCCCCTGTACCCGGTCCCTGGTCAACCACAGCACCAACACCCTCACCCGCCTCATCCCCCCTTGCACCCCCCTCCACATGTCGCACCAACTCTCCCTCTTGACTATGCCCCTTCTCTCCATCCTCTTCCCCTTCTTCTTTCTCCACCTTTTCTCCCTCCTTTCTCTCCTCTTCTCCCTCCCCCTTCTCTCCCTCCCCTCCCTCTCCTTCACTCTCCCCTTTCTCTCCCTCATCTTCACACTCCCCCTTCTCTCCCTCGTCTCCCTCTCCTTCACTCTCCCCTTTCTCTCCTTCGCCTCCCTCTTCTTCCCTCTCCTCCCTCTCTCCCTCATCTTCACTCTTCCCCCCCTCGCTCTCGTCAACCCTCACGTCAGCTGCAGCAGGAGAAGGAGCGAGGGCAGAGGGAATGCTGGAGGCAGCAACGCCAAAGGCGGGAGAATCCGGAACGAATGTTGGGGAGCCGGGAGAACAAGGGAAATCACTCTCCTCCTCTACTTCTTGCTTCTTCTCACTCCCATCCTCCACCTGAATCATTTTCCCACCACTCTCAGAATACTGTTCCACCTGCTGTATCTCACTTGCTGTTGAATCTTCTGCCTCCTGCCTCTTACTCCCTGCCTCCTCACTCTCTCCCTTCACTTCACACACCTTCTGCTCGTCCTCTTCCTTCCGCACTTTACTCTCCCTCTCCCCTCCCACTTCCCCTTCCGCCCCCCCCTCTTTCCTCAATCCCTCCTCTTCTGTCTCCTCTCCATCCCCTTCCCTCCCCTCCCTTTCATCTTCCCTCCCTTCTCCCTCCTCTTCCCTCACCCCACTCACGCTCCCCTCTCCTACTCCACCCTCCTCCTCCATCTCCCCACCTTCTCCTTCCGCACTCCCTTCTTTCCCCTCTCCCGATTCTCCCTCTTCCCGATACCCTTCAATCTCCGGACCCTCTCTCCTCCCCCCTGCCGCCTCAGCCCCCATCTCCCCCCCATCCCCCTCCCGCAAGCCTGATACCCCGCAAGCCTGATACACTCTTTCCGTTTCGTCCACCACACCTCGCGGTGTGCTGTCAGAACCCATGCCAGCATCCCCGTTGCCCGCTGTGCCACTAACCACCTCGCTCGCCACCACGCCACCCATACTGCCGCCCCATCCCCTGCTCGCCTCCAAACCACCTGGCTTGTTGCCAAGGTCATTCCGTTGCTCCTCACCAGGCCCACCCTCCACACTGCCCCCCACGTCCGCCGCACCAGCCTCACCTCCCGCCCCACCCTCCGCCCTGCCGTCCCCGTGTGCCCCGCCCTCCGCCCTATCGCCCATGTGTGAGCGCAGGAACGTGACGAACTGCAGCTTCCTCGCCGCCCGCTGCATGCGCTGCCGTGCGTTCGGACTCACACCGCTCTTGGGCGTGGTGGGCGGGCTGTGGGGGGTGTGGGGGGCGTGAGGCCTGGCCTGCGGGGGAAAGGCAGCAGCAGAGGCAGTAGCAGTGGCAGCGGTAGTGATAGCAACAGCGGCAGCTGCAGAGGCAGCAACGGCAGCAACAGCAGCAGCAGGCGGCACCTGCAGAGCAGCCATGTGCCCTTCCACCCCCTCCTCTGTGCCTGAACCCCCCATACCGTCGTGCATCTCCGTCTCTCCACCCTCTTGGTCCACTCCCAGCCCAGAAAGCTCCCCCGCCACAAACATGTCCTGCACTGGCCTTGCCTGCCCCACATTCTCAACCCCTCCCTCCCTCGCTCTCCACTGGTCCAGTTCCTTCCTCCATGCCCATGGCCACCAGCTCCCCCTGCACAAACATGGCGTGCTCTGCCACTCTCCCTTCATTACTCTCCACTGCCAACCCCACTCCTTCACTCTCCACGGTTCTCTTCTCTCCCACCCTCTCCACCAACCCGCTTTCTTCCTCCACGCCCAGAGAAACCAGCTCCTCCTCTACAAACATGTCCTGCACTTCTCCTTTCTCACCCTCTGCTCGCATTTTCACTCCCTCATGCAGCACTGGCCTTTCTTCTCCCTCCCTGTCCACTGTCTCACTCCCTTCCCCCACCCCCAGGCCAGCAGGTTCCGGCTCTACAAACATGTCCTGAATTGCCTTCCTCGCTGCATCATCCTCCACTACCGCCCCAACTCCCTCATTCTTTACCAGCTCCTTCTCTCCTCCCCTCTCTACCGCCACACTCTCTTCTTCCACGCCTAGACCAATCAGCTCCCCCGCCACAAACATGTCCTGCACTGCCGCGCTCCCTTCATTTCTCCTGCCACCAGCAACCAGATCCCCTGCCACAAACATGTCCTGCACTCTGGCCCTCCCTGCATCAACCTTCACTGCCGCCCTTGATATCACACCCTCCAATGCCGCCCCAACTCCTTCACTCTCCACGGCCCTCTTCTCTCCCTCCCTCTCCACCACCCCCCTCCCGTCTTCCACGCCAAGCGAAATCAACTCTTCCTCCACAAACATATCCTGCCGCACAGCCTTCTTCGCTGCATCATCCCCCACTGCAGCCCCCACTCCCCCGCTCTTTACCGGCTCCTTCTCTCCCTCACTCTCCACCGGTCCGCTTTCTTCCTCCACCCCAAGAGCAACCAGCTCCCGCTCTACAAACATGTCCTGCACTGCCTCCCTCGCTGCATCACTTTCCACTGCCACCCTCGCAAAAACACCCTCCCCTACTGCCCCCACTCCTTCACTCACCAATGCCCTCTTATCCACTTCCCCGCTCCCTTCCTCCACCCCCAGAGCAACCAACTCCTCCTCCACAAACATGTCCTGCTGCACTCCTGCCGCCCCCACTCCCTCACTCTCCACAATTCTCTTCTCTCCCTCGCTCTCCACCACCCCGCTTCCCTCATCCACGCCCAGAGCAACCAGCTCCTCCGCCACAAACATGTCCTGCACTGCCCCCTCTCCTCCCTCCCTCCCCTCCTCGCTCCCCCCATGCGTCTCCCCCTCGCCTGCTGCATCCACTGCTCCAGTCAAGCCACGAGCAGCAGCACCAGAGGCAGAGGCAACGGAAGATGCAGAGGCAGAGGCGAAGGTGCTGCTGCCATGGTGGTCCCAGGGAGCCTGCAGGGAGGGTCGGCCGTGCGTGGCAGCAGCATAGACTGGACTCAACACTTCCAGCACTGCGGCACCCTCTCGTATCTCAGCTGAGGTGGTGCTATGAGCGTCGACTTGAGTGGCAGGGGCGCCAGCTTGAGTATAGGTACCATGCTCATATGCAACCTCTTCCTCGCTGCTCTCCTCCCCATCTGCTTCACCTGCGTGTTTCAAATCCTGCCCTTCACCTGCTTGTTCCAAGTCCGTCCCTTCATCAACACCTGATACAGAAGCAGAGGCAGCCCAGGAAGTATCAGCAGCAGCATCAGCAGCAGCAGCAGCATCAGCAGCATCAGCATCAGCAGCATCAGCATCAGCAGCATCAGCATCAGCAGCATCAGCATCAGCAGCATCAGCATCAGCAGCATCAGCATCAGCATCAGCAGCAGCATCAGCATCAGCATCAGCATCGGCATCAGCAGCAGCATCGGCATCATTAGCAGCATCGGCATCATTAGCAGCATCGGCATCAGCATCAGCTGCGGCAGCGGCCGCAGCAGCAGTAACAACAGCTGCAGCGGCGGCAGCAACAGCATCAGCAGCAGCAGCAGCATCAACAGCAGCAGCAGCAACAGCATGAACCAGCCTCCTTACATGCTCTCCATGACTATCAGTCTCACTCTCATACTCGCTCACATTCTCACTCTCACTCTCACTCCCAGTCACACTCCCACCGTCCGTCTCACCCCATCTGCTGTTGTTCCCACCCTTCGTCTCCTCACTCTCACCCCCCTCATTCTTTCCCTCCTCCACACCACCTACACCAGCAGCCACCGGTGCAGTTAATGCTGCCTCTTCATCAGCATCCAAGCACTCCTCCCTACCGCACTGTACCTGTCCCTCTTCTCCGTCGTCACTCTCGCTGTCACTCTCACTCCCACCCCCCTCACTCTTCTCTCCCTGCCCCACACCACCCCCAGCAGCACCCATCGATCCAGCTGGCAGAGCTGAGCTCTCCCTATCATCCAACGCCCCCTCGCTTCCATGCTCCACCGGCCCTTCACTCCCACCCTCGCTCCCACTCTCGCTTTCACTCTCACTCTCGCTCTCGCTCTCAATCTCGCTCTTAACCTCGTTCCCGCTCTCACCCTCACTCTCACTCTCCCTCTCAGTCCCTTCACTCTCGCTCTCGCTCTCACTCTCCAAACTCTCCTCCTGCTCCACACCACCCACAGCACCCATCGGTGCAGCCACTGCTGTGACTGCAACACCATCCAAGTTCCCCTCGCCCTCCCTTTCATGACTCACCCTCCCTCCCCCTCCCTCCTCACTCTCACTCTCACTCTCACTCTCACTCTTGCTGCCCTCGGTCTGTACTGGCTCCACCCCACCCTCTGCAGCAGCAACTGGTGCAGCTGCTTCAACACCCTCAAAGGACCCCTCCCTTCCGCACGCTACCTGCGCTTCCTTTCCCTCCTCTCTCTCGCACTCACTCTCACTCTCACTCTCACTCTCGCTCTTGCTCTCCTCAATCTGTTCCTGCTCCACCCCACCCACAGCACCCATCGGTGCAGCTGCTGCTGTGGCTTCAACACCATCCAAGAGCCCCTCCCCCTCCTTTCCATGACCCACCCTCCCTTCCCCTTTTATCCCCCCCACACTCTCATTCTCACTCTCGCTCCCACTCCCCTCACTCTCACCCTCGCTCCTCTCACTCTGTTCCTGCTCCCCACTCACCGGTGTAGCTGGTGCGGTCGCGTCAACACCCTTCAGGGATTCCTCCTTCTCATACTCTACCTTCCCTTCCACCTCCTCCTCTCCCTCACTCACACTCTCACTCTCACCCTCACTCTCGCTCTCCTCGGTCTCACTTCCCTCACTTTCGCTCAACTTACACTCACTGCCCTTATTCTCAGTCTCCCCACCCCGAGTCTCCTCACTCTCAATCTTCCTCTCAGTCCCTTCACTCTCGCTCTCGCTCTCACTTCCCAAACTCTGCTCCTGCTCCACACCACCCACAGCACCCACCGCTGCAACACCATCCAAGAGCCTCTCACCCTCTTTTTCATACTCCACCTTCCCTTCCCTTCCATCCTCACTCTCACTCTCACTCTCGCTCTCACTTTCACACTCCTCACTCCCACTTCCCTCACTCTCGCTCAACATACCCCCACTCTCCTTATTCTCAACCTCCCAGCCCTTAGCCTCCTCAGTTTCACTCTCCCTCTCCCTCTCACCTTCCTTTTCACTCTCGCTCTCACTCCCCCAACTCTGTTCCCGAACCACCCCACCCACAGCACCCATCGCTGCAGCTGCTGTTGTGGCTGCAACACCATCCAAGAGCCCCTCCCCCTCCTTTCCATGCTCCACCTTCCCGTTTCCTCCTTCCACACTCTCATTATCACTCTCACTCTCGCTCTCACCTTCGCTCCCCTCACTCTGCTGCTCCACACCACCCACCGAAGCAGCCACCAGTGCAGCTGGTGTGGTCGCTTCAACACCTTTCAAGAACCCCTCCTCATACTCCACCTGCCCTTCCTGTCCCTCCTCTCTCTCAACCTCCTCCTCGCTCTCACTCTCACTGTCGCTCTCACTCCCCTCACTCTGTAGATCCCCACTCACCGGTGCAGCTGGTGTGGTCGCTCCAACACCCTTCAACGACCCCTCTTTCGCATGCTCTACCTGCCCTTCCTGTCCTTCCTCTCTCTCACTCTCACTCTCCTCACTCTCACTTCCCTCACTCTCGCTCAACTTACTACCACTCTCTTTATTTTCAATCTCCTCGACCTTAGTCTCCTCACCCTCACTCTCGCTCTCGCTCCCACTATCCAACTCAGTCCCCTCACTCTCACTCTCACTCTCACTCTCACTCTCACTCTGTTCCTGTTCCACACCACCCACAGCATCCATTGGTGCAGCCACTGTTGCGGCTACAACACCATTCCAAGGCTCTTTCCCCTGCTTGCCCTGCAGCTTCCCTTCCCCTCCCTCCGCACTCTCATTCTCACTCTCACTCTCGCCCCCCTCACTCTGTTCCCGCCGCTCCACACCACCCTCAGCAGGAGCCATCGGTGGTGCCGCTTCAACACCCTTCAAGGGCCCGTCCCTCTCACACTCTACTTGCCCTTCGTTTCTCTCCTCTCTCTCACGCTCACCCTCGCCCTCACTCTCACTCTCGTCACTCTCACTTCCCTCGCTCTCGTTCAATTTACTCCCAGTCTCCTTATTCCCAATGTCCCCAACCTTAGTCTCCTCACTCTCACTCTCCAACTCACTCTCACTCTCACTCTCACTCTCACTCTCCAACTCACTCTCACTCTCACTCTCACTCTCACTCTCACTCTCGCTGCCCTCACTTTGTACCCGCTCCACAACACCCTTCGAGGACCCCTCCCTCTCACACTCTACTTGCCCTTCCGTTCCCTCGTCCCTCTCACTATCACCCTCACTCTCACTCTCCCCCTCAGTCCCTTCACTCTCACGCTCAATCTCCCTCTCATCTCCGTCACTCTCACTCCCACTCTCACTGCTCTCGCTGCTCTCGCTGCTCTCACTCTCACCTCTCTCACTCTGTACATGCCCAGCACCACCCACAGCAGCCCCCAGTTCAGCTGCTAATGCAGCGTTCACCCCACCCAAGGGCTCCACCACCAGCTCCTCCCTCTCCTCACCCCCCCTCCTTCCCTCCTCGAACTTCTCCCCTGCCTCCTCACTCACCCACTGTTTCTCCTCAAGTCCACCCCCACTCTCCTCACTCTCTCCCCTCCTTTCCTCACACCCATCAGTGTCACTGCCATTCCCTGCCCTGCTGCTCTCCTCATCACTCGCCCTTGGCTTCTCGCTTCCCCTACCACCACCAACATCAGCATCAGCAGCACCATCACCAACCAGACCACCTACAGCACCAAGAGTTGCCCTCCTGATTTCCACCACCTTCACCCCTCCCTCCTCCCCACTCTCCTCATCGTCCTCCTCCTCTTTCCCGCCCTCTCCCTGTGCTGTTTCATCCACTTGCTCTTTCCGTTCATCCTCCTCTCGTTCCTCCTCTTCCTCCCTTTCCTCCTCTTCTTCTCTCTTCTCCACTTCCTCACTATCATCTTCTTGCTCCCTTTCCTCCTCTTCCTCCCTTTCCACATATTCCTCCCTTTCCTCCTCTTCCTCACTACCCTCCTCTTTCTCTCGCTCCTCCTCTTTCTCTCGCTCCTCCTCTTTCTCCCTTTCCTCCTCTTCTTCTCTTATCTCCGCTTCTTCTCTTTTATCCTTTTCCTTACTTTCATTCTCTTTCTCTCTTTCCCCCTCTTCCTCCCTTACCTCCTCTTCCTCCCTTACCTCCTCTTCCTCCCTTACCTCCTCTTCCTCTCTGTCCACTTTCTCCCTTTCGTCCCCCACAGCCAGCTTTCCCCCACCCTTCTTACCTTGAAGTCCTGCTTCCCCGTCCTCATCCACTGCTCCCTCACTGCCCTCCTCTTGCTCCTTTCGCACACCATCATCAGACTCCTCACTCTCACTCTCACTCTCACTCTCACTCTCACTCTCACTCTCACTCTCACTCTCACTACTTCCCACCTCACTTTCAGCATCCGCCATACCAGTCTCATCACGCTCACTGTCCTCGTTACTAGCTCCCTCACTACCAGTGTCCTCGCTATTGTCTTCCTCACACGCACTGCCATCGCTACAAGCCTCCTCGTTCCCATTATCCTCGTCATTAGCTTCCTCACTGCTGCTACTATCATCGCTATCGGCTTTCTCGTGTTCAGCTCGTCCTGTTTCACGACTTGCCCATCTATCCTCGCTACGAGAGTCATCCGTATTTAACTTAAAATCGCCGCCTATCCCCACACCATCCTGCATCACCCCACCATCATACACCATCCCCCCCACACCCCCATCCTGTGCCCCACCACCATTCGTCGAGCCCCCCTCGCCCCACCGCTCTGCCTGGAATGCAAAGTCATCATCAGTCGCCCCCTCCCCTTCGCCCCTGCTCTCCCCATTCTCACCCCGCGCATCACCACTTCCTGCCCCTCCTTGCAAAGTCCGCTCCTCATCTTCTTCCCCTTCCCTATCCCCCGCGCCCTCACGCACCCCTTCCCCTGCTTCCCCCTCTGCCGCCTCCCCTGCTTCCTCCTCGTCCCCCTCCCCTGCGCCCTCCTGTCCCCCCAAGCCCTGCGCCTCCCCCATGCCCCCTCTCTCCTCCCCGTCTGCTGCTCTCCCCTCACCGCTCTCTCTCCCCTCCCCCTGCTTCGTCCCTTCCCCTTCCCCCGTCCCCTCCCCTCCCTTCCCCTTACCGCCGTCCCCCCACATCCCTCCTCCCCTCCACGCGAACGGGGACAGCAAGCTCAGTCCGCCCGTTCTACTTCCGCCATCCTCCCCCTTGCCCGCCTCCCCCTTCCCCTCCTCCGCCACGCCCGGCTCCCCCCCGCCCGCGCCCAGCAGGAGGCCCGCCCACCCGCCCAGCCAGCTGGGGGACGCGGGGGCGGACTTGGGCGTTGCGGGGGCGCCTGCTGCCGCTGCTGCAGCTGCTGCTGTCCCGCCACGCGCTTGCTCTTCCGCTTGGCCATGCGCCTTTCTGTCTTGCGCCCTCGCCTCTTGCTCCCCCGCGAGCACATAATTCCGCGCAGCCTCGCCCCTAGCACCACCTGCGCCCCTCTCGCGCCCCACCTCCCCCACCCTAGTCTCGCTACCTAGACCCACCACACTCCGCCCGCTCTCTTCCGCCGTGCCACCGCCTTCTCGCCGCCCTGCGCCTGTTCCGCCGTCTCCGCCAACCCTCCCCCCCACTCCCCTTTCCGCAGAGCCGACTGCGTCCCCTCCCGGACTCCCCTTCCCCAGCCGCAAGGGCCTGAGCGCCAATCCCGCCTCCCCGCCCCCACCCTCTACGAGCGCGCCGAGCCCCCCAAGCGCGCTTCTGCGCGGACTTCCCAGGGGACTGGCGGGCCTGGCGGGAGCGGGGGACCCTAAGAGGGAGGTATCGGGGGGGGAGAGCACTCCGGAGCGGTGGGAGAAGCTGCGGTGCCCCTGGCGCAACCGACGCCGGCTTCCGCTTGCGCCGCCCTCCCCGCCGCTGCTGCTCTCCCCGTCGAAGTCATAGCTCATGTGCAGCCTGCGCCGGCTAATTTGCGCGGAGGCGGACGACGGGGAGAACGGCGGAGGCGTGGGGGAGAAAGGGGAAATCGCGGGGGATAATGGGGAAGGCGAGGGGGAAAGGGACGGCGAGGGGGAGCTGACAGCCCCGTCGTCTGTCGCGTCTGTACCGCCCCTACCGCCGCGATCGGCGCCCGTCGTGATGCGGAGCATCGCGACGCGCCTCGTAACGATTCGACCTTGCTTTTGGAACGCTTTAAGTTGCTGCGATGCGGTGTCGCGGCGGTCCTAGCACGACGCGGCACACAAGCCAGCTCTTCTCGACCGAACGGCTGCTATGAGCCTGCAACTGGCGGCTTCATCGGTCGCGCGCGTATCCTAAGTCTACTAAGCCGGCAATACCACGAACCAATCGAGACGTCTCAAAATTTGAAAACCACTCCAGCGCTAACGAAAGTCGATCGTCGCGGCCTTGAATGGACCCGCCGCATGGGCGCAGCTCCGCACTGAGAGGCGTGCCCGCGACATACATGCGAATGCTGGTGCGTTGACTTTCTTCTCGCTCTCTACTTCTCTCTCCGTACCACTCTCTCTCGCTCTCTCTACAACCTCCCAGTGCCTCTCTCTCGTTCGCTCACACCCTCTCAGTGCGAGCTGTAGAGCTGCTTACATTCCCACCCTCCCTCGATGCTCCAACCATACTACGGCCTGAGGAAATGCCCTTCAGTTGTGCTTCCCAGCATCTCCGTTTTCCGCCTGCTCCATGTTCTTTTGATTTGAGAAGGGAAGGGCGCCACCAAGCCAACCAACCAACAGTGCCTCTTCGTTGTGCTTCAATTTGACGCAGAGCGATTGGGAAGCACGTTCGCACGCACACAAGAGTCCCAGTTGTGGCGAATCGAGGCGACCTCACGACGCTGGAGGCGCTGCGCACAAGACTTCGCTATTTTCGCAAACCCGCTCTCTCCTCACGTGTTTTTGCACCTTGGACACAGAATTACACTTAGGGTTATATATTGTTCGTTGTAAGGAATTTTCCAGCATTCCTTACCCTGTGTTATGGGTGCAAATGGAACAGGATAGCGAGGATTGCACTAGGTGTCAAAAGAGTGCAAATCATTAGCGAAGGCATGAACAAATACTTATACGCGAAACATGCAAACGGTAACGCGGTGCGTGCGAGCTAGCTAGTGCTAGGCTGGCATCGAGGTTCGGGCTAGTCCCGAAGCGTAGGCCGACTCGGCCGGGCCAGCGGTGCATGGTTTGGTGAAACAGTGTGCGCGATGTTGGCGAATCCCTGTTACGGGCGAACAGCGTCTGCTGCTGTGCGCGACAATGCAGAACGCAGTAAGGAATGAACTCCCCCCCTTCCCTATCCCCATCTCCCCCCACCCTCAAGAAGCCCCCTCATTACGTGAGTGTGTGTATTTTTCACAAACTCCGGCTCCTCATGTACACTTGCAGGGCAGGGTGGTTTTCAATGTTGACCATTGGCACCCAGCTATTTCTTAGAATCTTAGGCATGAAATTGTGTGAGATTAGGTCAAGGTTGGGGTACAAGACTAGAGTGTCGAGAATGTTTCTGTACCCTCTAAGGCTAGCCCCAATATAGCCTAGATACTAATATGCATATGTTTTGACACCTCCATAGGCGAAGTGGGGGATAGCCAACACAAGGGGTCACAAGACCAGTCAAGCAAAGCAAACCGAAGCAAAGCTCAGGGTGGATCACAATGTCACCACACATTCTGAGCAAAGGTTTAAGGCCTCAAGGCCGGTTCACATGCAGGATGATATATAGAGGTAAACAAACAAGAGCAGGTATATACAAGACACAGTACAAGCAAGGTCAAGAAGTGAGCAAATGAGGCCAAGTAGGCACAAGACCTAGCATAGTACAAAAGCGCTGATGATCGCAAGGCGGAAGAGCCTTGGTGAAGATATCAGCAGTGTTGGCCCGAGTGGCCACGTAAGCAAGGCGCAGCTGACCACGCTGCTGCAGCTCACGAGCAAGGAAGTAGCGAAGAGCGATGTGCTTCGTTCTGTGCTCCAGTCTGTGCTCCTGACACAAGGCCAGCATGGCCTTGTTGTCTACGTACAGAACTGGAGGAGAACGAGGCGGCTCTCTAAGGTCAGTCAGCAGGTAGGTCAGCCAGCTCCTATGCAGCCATGGCTCCTGCGTAGATCTCAGCCTCACAACTGGAGCTGAGAACAGAAGACGAGCGAGTAGACCGCCACGAAACAGAGCCGGAACCAAGGCTGAAGGTGTAACCCTGTGACGACCGCTGTGTAGCCAGGTCGTCGACCCAAGACGCGTCTGCGTGACCTGTGAGGACCACTCGACTCCGCCCTCCAAGCACGAGCCCCATGCCTGACGTACTGCACAAGTAGCGCAACACCCTCTTCGCTGCAGCCATGTGCTCTGGTCGGTGTCTCCCAGGAGCAACATAGCGTGCGAGTATGCTGAGAGGGTAGGCCAGGTCAGGTCGTGTGCAGGTCATCAGGTACATGAGGCAGCCAACAAGCTCTGGGTACGGGCCACTCGGCTCTACGGACTCATCCGAAGGCAGAGCTGAGAGCGAGTGGCGAGTAGACAGAGGAGTGGCCTGAGGCGAGGAGTACGTGAAGTCGAAGCGCTGAAGGATCTGCTGCACCATGTGTGACTGAGTCAGAGTAATGGTGCGCCGTGCTCTGTCCCGAGTGATCTGCAGGCCAAGATAGCTGCGCAGTTCACCCAGGTCTGTGCACGTGTGTCGCTTCTGCAGCTCGGACTTCACGTAGGCGAGTCCAGCAGTGTCAGCTGTAGCAAAGACCAAGTCGTCGACGTACACGAGGATGTAGAACGGCGACAAAGAGGTGTCGGTGCGTAGAAACAGCGACGGGTCGGCAGTAGAAGGAGCAAACCCAAGAGCCGCAAGCGTAGTCCTCAGTGTGTCGTGCCACTCACGCGGCGCCTGGCGGAGACCGTAGACTGGCCGCCGGAGGCTCCACTGGGTACCAGGAGGAAACGACCCAGTGAAGCCAGGTGGGCGGCGCAGCCAGATCTCCTCGTGCAGGCTGCCCTGTAGGAAAGCTGTGCTGAAGTCCAGAGAGTGAAGCTCGTAGTCACGGTGAGCGGCTATGTGTAGCAGCACCCGAAGAGTGGTCATCTTCGGGGTGGGAGAGAAGGTCTGAAAGTAGTCAACTCCCTGCCGCTGACTGAAGCCTCGAGCCACGTAACGCGCCTTGAAGACAGGCGGAGAACCCGGCGGCCGCTTCACCCTGAAAATCCACATGCCACTGACAATGTTCGCCCCAGGTGGGGGAACCTCGTCAACGTAGGTGCCTGTGGACTTCCAGGAAGTCATCTCTGCGTCCATGGCTGCCTGCCACTGAGAGGAGTAGGGACCCTCTATCGCCTCCGCGTAAGAGCGCGGAGTCGGGATGTCTAATGCATCCGGGTCTCCCTCAGGGGCAAGCAGTGAGGACACAAGATGAGGTAAAGCAGCAGCAAGACACTGGAACTCCTCCTGCCTGTCCTCAAGGACGTCCGTGCTAAGAGCACACTCACCCCCGACGGACGGAGGACAGACAGACTCAGACTCAGCAACAAGACTAGCGGCGTAGTCTAGACGACAGGCAGCAGCAAAGTCAACAAGCTCAGCGACTAAGGCAGACGCAGCAGTAGACTCAAACGACGGGTCAGTGACAACAGTGGCTAACAGACGCGTGACAGTAGGGTGCTCAGCACGAAACCGGTCAGACTCAGGGTCCGGAACGGCAGGCAGAGAGGACGCAGGGGGAGACGGCAGAGGAACAGGCTGCGGAGCAGAGGAAAGACGACGGACTACAAGGTGTGCGCTGGGGACAGCCGGCTGACGCAAACGAGGAACACGACGAACGGTACGACCAGAACGAACAGGCGAGACAGGACGCGACGCAGGCTCACGACGCTCAGCAGGGGTGCCTGTCTGCTTAGTGTAAGGAGAGGGAGCAGGTAGCGGTGAGCCAGTCTGTAACGGAAGACCAGTAGACGACGGGAGAGTAACAACCTGACGAAGAGCAGAGTCAGGTGGCGGCAGAGACGACGGAGACGGCGGAGCGAAGAACAGTCGTGGCGGCGCAGCTGCACCAGTACCAGCAGCTCCAGCAACCCCAGCAGCCCCAGCGCCTCCAACCGCTCCAGTACCTCCAGCAGCTCCAGAAGCTCCAGCCGCAGAAGCGGTACCTCCAGCGCCAGCACCTCCAGACTCAGCGTCACCAGTAGCAGCACCCCCAGAACCGGCACCTCCAGTCCCAGGGTCTCCAACCTCAGGGTCTCCCGCAGCAGCACCCCCAGAACCAGCACCTCCAGTCCCAGGGCCTCCAACCGCAGTGTCTCCCGCAGCAGCACCCCCAGAACCAGTACCTCCAGTCCCAGGGTCGCCAGTCTCAGTGTCTCCAGGAACGACGCCTCCAGGCGCAGCACCCGCAGCCCCAACAGCTCCAGCACCTCCAGTAGCAGAGCCCCGGGCTCCAGCAGCGCGACGCTGACGGCGACCGTACCAGTCGTGCAGCTGCTGAGGGGTGAGAGGCACACGCGGACGAAGGCGGCCACTCCAAGTAGGCCGCGCACCAGCAGTCCCAGTGCCCTCAAGCGTCTCACCTCCAGACTCAGTACCTCTAGACTCCGCACACACAGGCTCAGTACCCCCAGGCATAGCACCCCCAGGCGCAGGACCCCCAGTCTCCTCACACGCAGGCTCAGCACCCCCAGACTCCGCACCCCTAGACGCAGCACCTCCGGGAGCACCACCCCCAACAGCACCAGAGTCAACAGGAACCGGCTGCAGAGGCGGCGAAGAAGGTCGCGGAGGGAACCCCGGAGGGGTCTCCAAGCGTGGTGCGCGGCGGTAGGCCGCCGGGGCGTCAGCAGCAGCGTCACCCCCCTCAGGTGAGCCAGAGGTGTCGGAAGTGACCTCCAAAGGCTCAGCCAAGGGGGGGGGGTCTACCTGAGACACACCTGAAGGAGCAGGACCTTGAGGGGGGAGGGGGTCTACCGGAGGGGGACCTGGCGTAAGGAAGAGCGGCGGGGGGGGAAGGGGGGCAGCGCGGTAGGGGAAGAGACGGTAGTACGGAACCGACTCGTCAAACGTGACGTCCTGGGAGGACAGAACACGGCGCGAGGTGGGGTGGTAAAACTGCCAACCAGGCGCGTCAGGGGGGAAGCCAAGGAAGACGCAGGGAACAGCACG